TAATAGGTAATGTAATACTTCAACCAATATATATGTGTTAAAACAAGCTGACATATAAAGGGAGTATATTAGAGTATTAAAATCTATGTTAATTAATCGATTTTAAGGAACATCACTCTTAGTCTTAACAGAAAACTAATTGAAAAAAGCAATACATAAAATAGAAATATATTAAAATTATTTTCTATTCAGAGTATGTTAATAAGTATATGTAATGCTTATACTAGTACATATATGTTAAAACAATCTGAAATATAAAGAAAATTAATTAGAGTAATAAAAAAATTGTTAATTAATCGATGAAAATGTAAATTGGAATCCGAAAGCACGGACTTAGCTGTCGATGTTCTTTCCTCTTCGAAATCTTCTGTTAGACTGAGACGTTGGCCCATAAAAAAGTTTTTTCTATCGAAAGTTGTTTATATGGCTTTCTAATAGTTGCGCATGTGTATATAACGAAAATACTAATTGTATTAAATAGAAATTATATTATAACGTTCAGATTTTACATTTTTTTAATTTTTGTGTGATTGTTTAAATAAATGTAAATTTGTTTTAACGTTCCTGTGCAGTGGTGACTTCGGAGGGGGAAATTTTCATCGAAAAGAATATCATATCGAAATTATTTTATATTTAAAGTATGATAATGAATATATGTAATGCTTATACAAGTACCTATATGTTAAAACAATCTGAATTTTAAAGAGAGTGTATTAGATTATTCAAATAATTGTTAATTAATCGATAGAAATGTCTAGTGTTGTTAAAAAAGTCGGAATATATGATCTATGCACTGTCCTCTTCGAAATCTAACGTTGAAATGAGCCTTTATCTTCTATGTAATTACTTTTATTGAAAGTTGTTTACATGACTTTCCGAATGTTGCGCATGTGTAAAAAGAAGGAAAATTCATCTAATCAATAAAGTTTAAGATTACAACGATCTGATTTCAGCATTTCTTCGTTTTTATGTTATTGTTTAAACTAATGTACATTTGTTTTAACGTTCCTGAGCAGTGATGACTTTGGAGGGAGAAATTTTTATCGAAAAGAATATCGTATCGAAATTATTTAATATTTAAAGTATGTTACTAAGTATGTAATGCTTATCCTAGTACATATATGTTTAAACAATCTAAAAATTTAAAGAGAGTGTATTAGATTATTAAAATAATTATAAATTAATTCATTTTAAAATCTTGTAAGTTTTTCTTTTATGTATGTACTTTATACATAAAACAATAAGAAAGCCTAATTAATGCTGTGCTTTTCCAAATCTTCAAATACTTGCAAATCTGCAAATCATAAAAACTAAAAAATAATCAGCCAATAAAAATCTGCAAATCATAAAAACTAAATAATAATCAGCCAATAAAACATAATTAATAAAATAATTATCAGCCAATAAAAAAAAATAAATAAAATAATTATCAACCAATCAGCGCTCTTTGCTGATGTTCCTTCTTTCTTTTTCCTGGCGTTGGTGGTGGAGATAGCACGGATAATCTGTCCTCCAGTTAATCTCAGGTAATTAAAAGATATTTATAACGTACAGCCTTCTATTATATATCAAACGATAGCTATACGCAAGATTTTCATACGTGAGTGTTTTTAAAACGAAATATTAAAAAATACGGAAGATATCTGTGACAATATAATCATCGGCGCATGTCAGTTTCGCGCCAAATCTAACCAATGTTACTTAATAATATTATTTTCTCATTTACACTTTTTTCCATGGTATCGATACTACTACCATCTTAAATAATGCTTTAATTAATTATTTTTCATAATTGCATATGTGTTCAAAAATCATATTTTGCATTAAATTCAATTTTTATAACCTATAAACATATACAGGCATATATACATAAGGATAGGTAGCTCATACACATACACTCATATATTTGATTTTCTTTATATTGTACTAATGTAATTTTATTTGTTTTAATTTTTTTAGCATTCGAGAGCATTGGAGAGTCCAGAACAAATACATATACTCAGTTAAACAATTGTGTTTAATCTTTTTTACCTTCATATCGATCGAGGTAAGCGTTATCCTTTTTTTAAGCTATATAGAAATTTATAGAAAGAGTGAGAATGAGAGTGAGAGAAAGAGAGAGAGAGAGAGAGAATAAGAAAATAAAACATTCAACGTACAGGCAATTATGAATTCCTGAATATTCAGGAATGTCCTCGAGAAGAAAAGAAGCCGTAAACAGTCGAAAACAAAACGACAACAACCGAACGTTTCGAACTCGCTCGAACATCATTCCCCTCCCGTCCTTCAACGAGTTAAGATCTAACGAACGTAACGTATTGAACTATTTAATAATTTTATTTCTAACGTTCTCGTGTTAATTTAAATACTTTGAAGAGTTTTTTATTACATAAAACAGTATAACATACGGTTTATTTTTTAGGTTATTCTTTATTAAGTTTGCTAATACAAATTTTGTTTTATTTAGAAAACTTTAAAGATTTTTAATGAATAGTTTTACTGATATTTTTATAATATAATATCTTTTAATGTGTGCCTAGCCTTCAGAAATGATTCCAAGAAATATTGTAATATAATTTTTAGTATGTTACAGCTTTTCAGATTTTTTATTTACTTTTATTTTATTCGTCGTCATCCTAAGGGTAGGATACCCATCCTGCAATCATCAATGAAGACTAAAAGTAAGTATATTTTTTTATTAAACATTTCTATGATAACTTTAATGATTTTTTATTACGACGATGACATTAATTGTTCTTTTTCTTTTTCTGTTTCAGAACATCATTGCAATCGTGCGCGTAGGCAATGAAGTACTCGTGTGTTGCATCGTTAAAATCAAATATAAAAGAATCGGAAAGTAGAATCGGTGTTGTACGTCGTATGTAAAAGTTTCGTTTGCTCGGGTAAAGAAACTCCGTAAGTTTCTTTTATTCGTTTAAAACGTGTGCTCATCGTCATCTTAAGGRTAGGAWAYCCATCGTGCATTCATCACTGAAGAATAAACGTAAGTCACTTTTTATTTTAAACACTTTCTTAGCAATTATAATAATGTTTTCTTACAACAATGATATTCATAATTTTGTTTTTATTTTTGTTTCAGATCATTATGAGAATATTGCAGTGTTGGAAGTGTTTGTGAATTGTGTTTGTGAAGTGTTGCAAGTGTTAGTGCATTGCTATCGTGCGCGAAGCAATATACGGGAGTGTTTGATCGTTTAAATAAAATTAAAATCACGGATTAGAAGCACGTTCGTTCGTTAATTTCAATTCCGTCGCGTTCGCGTGAACTATTTTTGAAATTTATATATTAAATTAACTGCGACCAATGCAGTGTAATTGCATTAGAGTTTGTTCGAGTAAAGTTGTATTTTTATCTTTAACAGTCGTACAGACTGTTCGCGTATTAGAGTCAGTGCATCAATGAAGATTTTAAATTTAACGCGTTTCGGGATTAAAATAAAGTGTGAAATTTGTTTGTTTGAATAGAYTGTGTGCAAAGCAGTCTTTGAATTAGTTGTAGAGTCAGTGAACGGGCTTAAAACAAATTAAAATAAAACGCGAATTAGAGTCAGTGTTGTTCGCCGTATAATCAAATTTCGGTTTCGCGATAAGAAACTCATCTATAGTTTCTTATTTTCGTTAATAACGCGTTATTAGATTCACGCGAGATGCATCACCATGGTGCCACTGAGCTTCATCCCATTGGAATGCATTGTAAGTATTCATTTTTATTAACATTTTATTCGATTTCTTTTTTATACGATTTTGGATTATATTGTAAATAACTTATCGTTTTATTCTATTTTATTTTACAGATATGACCACGGATTGTCTTCCTTTTCTTCGATGGATTTTTGATGGATCTTCTTCAATACAAAATCGAGGAACTCTTTGATCGTCAGACTACAATACTTGCTGCAAAATATTAGTGTTTTGGAGCCATCGTAGAACTTCTTAAATCGTGAGTTAAAATTTTAAGTCCCTCCGGTGCTCAATCATGTCGAGGATGAAAGGTTCCTAATTGACACGAGCTACTGGTTGTAATTATTTACGTAAATTATTAACGAGGACACGAGTAATTCATCTTTCAAATTCTTCTTTTAAATTCT